GCTGCACACATCTGAATATTTGGGTTGAAGTGTTCTGGAACAGTGTTTTCTTAACCACTGATTTCTAGTCGTGTCCTCTTTTGGAAGACCAAACAAAGTAGTTTCGCTTTCACAACGAAACACACGGCGTCTTCACGACATAGCGGCGGAGGCAGCAACAATACTACAGCGAGAAAAAAAGTTGTTACGTCTTTCTTTGCGTGAACATTTGGGCGGCGTTATGCAAATCGCTTGTCTTTGACGTGGAGTCTGAAAGCAGAAACCGCACATTAATAACCATCCCTCAGAAACTCATCATTCAATAACTCATGTCATCAATAACTCACACGAGCGCGTTGATGGTGCAGACGCCGTGGTTCGTCTGCACCTCATATTTAGTCACTTTCCGCAGGATCTCAAGCGGAAACATCTTAGTCGTTTCAACGCAACATTTGGGTGTGATGCCTGAAAATCAAAACCAAAAACAAACCAACTCTGATAACATTCACAACAGAAATACAACTAAAAGATCAATTCTCGTAGTGTAAAAAAACTAAAATTAATAAATGCTAACACTTTAGTTTAGGGACCAATTCTCACTATTAACTAGCATGCAAACTGTGCACATTGGCTGTTATATAGCACTTATAAAGCACATATTAATGCCTTATTCTGCATGACCATATTTTAGATCTTTTATACTACCTGAACTTAACAACTACCTTATAAACTATTAATAAGCAGCAAATTAGGAGTTTATTGAGGCAAAAAGCTAAGTTAATAGTTAATATAGTGAGAATTGGACATTAAAATAAAGTGACCAAATAAATATACATACACACATAAAACATTACACATTTTTTTGTTAAATGTTATATATATATATATATATGCAACTTTACAGATCTTCTTTATGCACCAAGAGCTTGTAACACTCCAAAGAGAAAGGAACAATTGAAATCGCATCACATGACCCCTTTAACCTATGTAAAAATAAAAAAGAAAAAAAAAGAAAAGTAAATCAAAAATAAAGTTACTTCATCCATCAAACTAACAGCTCTTTAATTCAACCATAATACAAGACACGAGAAACTTTTCACCTTGAAGCAATAATTTTGATTTGTGCCTTTCTATAAAGCACTACAAACATAATACATAAACCAATAAAACGTATAAAAAAAATTAATCTGAAAAAACTTTTTTTTGTAAGAAAGCAGTTATCAAAAAAAAAAAAGCTTTAAACAAAATGTGTACAAAATGCAGAAGCTATATGCAAGATCAATGAATTCATTTGAAGATGTAGAAAAACATGCAATGAGTAAATGTTTTCTGAAAGAGTGGAGTGACAGATGTTTGTCCGGATCTCATGTGTTCAAACAGCAGAGGTGTTTTTCATGCTGTGCCGTGACTTCAGCTTCAGTAAGTTCTGCAGGATTCGCTCGAGTCTGGGCGTCGCGCAGTATCGCTTGTCTTTGACGTGGAGTCTGAAAGCAGAAACCGCACATTAATAACCATCCCTCAGAAACTCATCATTCAATAACTCATGTCATCAATAACTCACACGAGCGCGTTGATGGTGCAGACGCCGTGGTTCGTCTGCACCTCATATTTAGTCACTTTCCGCAGGATCTCAAGCGGAAACATCTTAGTCATTTCAACGCAACATTTGGGTGTGATGCCTGAAAATCAAAACCAAAAACAAACCAACTCTGATAACATTCACAACCGAAATACAACTAAAAGATCAATTCTCGTAGTGTAAAAAAACTAAAATTAATAAATGCTAACACTTTAGTTTAGGGACCAATTCTCACTATTAACTAGCATGCAAACTGTGCACATTGGCTGTTATATAGCACTTATAAAGCACATATTAATGCCTTATTCTGCATGACCATATTTTAGATCTTTTATACTACCTGAACTTAACAACTACCTTATAAACTATTAATAAGCAGCAAATTAGGAGTTTATTGAGGCAAAAAGCTAAGTTAATAGTTAATATAGTGAGAATTGGACATTAAAATAAAGTGACCAAATAAATATACATACACACATAAAACATTACACATTTTTTTGGTAAATGTTATATATATATATATATATATATATATATAACATTTACAATTTTTTTTTTAATGTTTTATGTGTGTATGTATATTTATTTGGTCACTTTATTTTATATATATATATATATATATATATACACACACACACACACACACACACATACACAATTGATAATAAATTATGCATAAAAAAATTGATGGTAGAATAGAATTCCTATAGTGTAAAATAAATAATAAAATGTATATTATTATTTTATATTATAACTTATAAAAAATATAGTTGTACATAATTTTTTAATAACTATATATATATATTTTTATTTTTTTATTTTATTTTTTTTAATCAATTAATTTATTCAGTCATTTAGCAGACGCTTTTATCCAAAGCGACTTACAAATGAGGACAATAAAAGCAGTCAAAACTAACAAAAGAGCAACAATATATAAGTGCAACATTAAGTAATTAAGACTAACATGTTTAGTAAAATATAATGAGTATATGGTGTAATATTTCGCAAAATGCTCCTCTCTAGACTTAATTTCTCTAGTGAACTAACGAGCTGTGTTTTATTTCCACGCTGTATTGTTGATGTCTTTCCGCGGTTGAAACACTGATTGAGCAATTACATGAGGCATGAGATGTTCAGTCATGTTTATTCGCGTTAAAACTAGTAGTACAGAGGAAGGAATGACCGCGCTCCTCTGCACAGATCTTATATATACACATATAATACATATACACACACACACACACACACACACATACACATATATATATATATATATATATATACACACACACACACACACATATATACATTCACGTATACATACATACACACAGATAATATATATATTAATTAAAAAATTATATACAACTTATAAAAATATATAAGTATTATATAAAACTGTTTTTGAGGTATTTGTTAGAAAGACCAAGAGATTAATTCCTGTAGTGTAAAATAAATAAATTTAATAAATCTAATTCCTGATTAATTCCTGTAGTGTAAATAACAGCACAAACAGTATATGTAGTACCGTATATGTACTGTACATGTAAATAATATAAAATATTTATAATAGATTAGATACACACACATTGTATAATTTTATTGAGTGCATGTATATACAGCACATTCATACATACATATATATATATATATATATATACACAAAAATCATGAGTGGTTATTATTTGCAGTGATCCTCATTATTACCTTGAACGGTGCTGAAGGTGACGGAGAGTAAAATCCCAAACACTATGAGCTCCATCTGAAGATCAGTGAGATGGGCTGTGCATCCTGTGGGATCTGAGAGTCGGATACACACTCTTATACGAGCCGTTAAACTCCTCCTATCAGAGCCACACATGATCATCTGCTCCAGCGAGACACACACACACACACACACACACACACACACGATTCAATCTGCATCAAGAGTTCAGCGGTCATTCACTCAGGCATTTAAACTCCGAGAGAGCTGCAGTGTATCAAACAAAACCGTTTATTCAATCACCTAAAACATCATTTACATTAAATAACAAATACAGAAGATCACAACCAACAATAAAAATTAAGTTAAAAATTTCAAATTACTCTGTAGTTTTCACCACAAAATTAAAATGTCACATTTACATACAACTAAAAAATGAATAAAATCAAATCACAAATAGCAGCATCAAAACATCTGTAGCTTCAATCTCCACAGTGTTACGCATCTGAAACAGACAAATATACAATACATAAAACATTTACTTCCTAAATGAACACATTAGATGAAAAAAAACACTTGTTTACAGGAATAATTCACTCCAAACTGTAAAATCAGTCACCATTCTTATTATATTCATTATTCTTTTTTATGATGAGATCTAGGGCTGTGAAACTCTAGAAAATGAGAAAAACAAACTCTAGAATGATCATAACAGTACGTGATTTGATATATGTGAGCCTGGAGCACAAAAGCAGTGTTAAGTCTCTGGGGTATGTTTGTAGCAATAGCCAACAATACATTGTATGGGTCACAATTATACATTTCTCTTTTATACCAAAAATCATTAGGATATTAAGTAAAGATCATGTTCCATGAAGATATTTTGTACATTTCCTACCGTAAATATATCAAAACTTAATGTTTGATTAGTAATATGCATTGCTAAGAACTTCATTTGGACAACTTTAAAGATGATTTTCTCAATATTTTGCACCCTCAGATTCCAGATTTTCAAATAGTTGTATCTCGGCCAGATATTGTAACAAACCATACATCAATGGAAAGCTTATTTATTCAGCTTTTAGATGGTGTATAAATCTCAATTTAAAAAAAAATGGACCCTTATGACTGGTTTTGTGCTCCAGGGTCACATAT